AAAGCACTTAGAAATTTCAATCCTGAGAATATAGCCTAGAGAAGTTCTTGATTTTATGTATTTCAGGAATTCTGTTCAAGATTATTGGTGACCTTCCATTTGAAGAAACCTAGAAAGAACATTATTATTCATTAAAGGAAGAATGAGTTAAAACTCCACCTACATAGATAGAGTATGATAAAACATTAAAAATGAATGTCTTATCACTAAATACACAGAAAAACATAGTGGACCCTAAGTAAGAATGAGATACAATTTACAGTACAATATAAGAAGCATAGTTCCATCATAAACATATAAAATTGAATTACATATAGTTTAGAAACAAAATATGTAAAATTAGGATGAAGGAGAATGGAATCATGAATGCAAAATTTAGGATAATGGTTTTCTATAAGACAGAAAAGAACGTCAGGAACTAGTCAACAAACAGAAGGGACTATAAGATTATCTAAACCCAGATTATATTCATTGAATCACTCTACTTTATGCTACTTATATTTTACAGTCTTTTGTATCTACAAAAAAAATTTAAGAAAAACAGAAATTCTAACACTTTCATCTCACATGTCTCAGGATTATCTGAGGCTCCTACTAGAGAAAAAGTGGGAGATGTTTACCCATCTTCACCAGAATTCCTGATAGTTCCCTGAAGGAATATTTTTAAACAAGATGTAAAATTATGTGGCACCATATCCTTTCTTTTTCTACTGTTTTCTATAATTAATTCATTCTGATTAATTCCCCTTCAAAGATTTTTTGAAATTCTTTTCCTTCTTGTTAGTCCTCCTAAAGGACACAAGCTGGCATGAGACACACAAATGTTCTCTTGGCCCTGATCCACTTCCCTTTATTTCTCTCCAATAAATCCCTAACACTTTATTTTTTTCTGTTTCATATGTTCTTCTTATAATTACCAGTTCCTTTAAACATTATGTATTAAAAAGTACATGCTGAAAAACGTTTCAGTACAGGATAGCCTTTCAACACATGGTGCTGAAGTAATTGACAGAAACAAATATCCACAGAAACAAAACCCACAGAAAGAAAAGGAATACAACCTAAGTCTCACCTCCTGGAAAAACATTAATTCAAAATGGTAATGGACTTACGTAAAAAAGCATAAAACTATAAAACTTTCACAGAAAGATTTTTAAAGAGTTGAAGTTCTTCATGTTCTGAAACTTCACAGAGTTCTTAGATTTCAAAACCCAAACAAAATCTGTAAAAGAAAAATGGATAAATGGGGCTTCTTCAAAGTTAAAAACTTTACTGTCTCTGAATGAGATAGTAAAGAGAGTGAAAAGGTAATTTACACTGTGGTAAATATATATATATATTTTTTTTTTTCACAGATTATGTATAGACATGTGTGTGTGTGTGTGTGTAGAGAAAGAGAGAGAATTCTTAGAACTCAACAATAGAAAACAAACAAGCCAATTAAAACATGGGTAAAGGATATATAAAAATTTCACACACACACAAAACACAATGGGTAAATCAGCACATTAAAATGCTAACAACATAATTAACCATTAGGAAAATGGAAATTATCATAGCACAAATCTCTGAGAATGTCTAAAATTAAAAGCAAAACAACAAAAAAAGTGACAGCACCAACTGCTGTCAAGGATGCAGAAAGATCAAATCAAAAATACATTGCCAGTGGGAGTATAAAATAGTATTGTTACTTTGGAAAATAGTTTGGTAATTTCTTTAAAATAATAAACATATGATTTCTATGTGACCTAATAATTACACTCAGGGTTAAAGAACCCCAAAATATGAAGATGAATTTTCACATAAAATCATGTGCATGAAAGGCAGCAACTTTCTTAATAATCATCCCAAATGGGAAAAAAATTAGTGAGTTCAGCGTGTGAATAATAGGTCCAATATTATTTTATAATAATATCTATATAAAACAAACACTAAAACTTATATGGCTTTCCAGAGAATTATACTGAGTGAAAAAAGTCAGGTATGATTCCACTTATGTAACGGTCTTTGAATGAAAAAAATTGTAGAAGCGGAAAAAAACTAGTGATTTCAAGGGGATAAGATTTGAGGGCAAGAAAGAAGTGGGCCTGGCTATTAAAGGCAGCAAGAGGGATCTTGTGCTGAAGGGAACATTCTTCATCTTTACTGCATCAATGTCAATATTCTGATTGTGATTTTGCATTATGGTTTTTGTGATGCTACCCTTGGGCAAAACAGGATAAAGGGCATGGGATCTGTCTACAGTATTTCTTACAACTTGGGAATCTACATTTACTTGTAAAAGAAGAAAGTTAAATTTAAAAAAGATAAAATCATGTGCTGATAGATAATAATTGAATTAGGTCCAGCAAAATATCTACATCTGACATTAGAACATCTACTTATTGAAAGGATAGTTTTATTCCCTTTATGTTTTTGAAGAAGTATAACTTATCTAACTTATTTAACTAATAAAATTACATTTATTTTTCTTTTATTCATCATCATTATTCCTTCCTTATTCACTTTCAATTAATGGTTTATCTTAATTGCTATAAGAGACTTTAGTCAGTAATGTAGTCTATTTCCCTGGGAAATCTAAGGCACATCTCCCCAAACTTTAGTGAATATAAGAATTACCTGGAGAGTCTGTGAAATCATAGACTACCGGGTCCTACCCCTGGCCTGTCTGATTCAGAAGTTGTGGGCTTTGCCTGAGAATTTGAATGTCCAATACGTTTCCAGGTGTTGTTGATGATTGTGATGCATGCAAGGTGTTAGTAGACAATGTTTTAAGTTGGATCCTTTCTTAGTCCAGAATAATGAATGTTCCATAAGACTCACACAGTTCATGGTAGGTAAGCACTGTTTCCAATAGTTACATTCTGAACCATTACTGCAGTCCAGAATTCTGATGCTGTTCTCCTATTGTTGCTTTGCAATAATTATTATTTAATGCTTTTTATCTCTACCGAGTGGAATAATATACTATAAACTAGAATTCCCACTTCTATAGCACATATCACTCCAGGAGCTAGCCAAAGTTTTTGAAAAATTCCAAGGCTGAGTTTACCATTTGAATTTTAGTTTAAATACATAAAAGCACTTGAAGCCTTTTATAAAGAGTATTGCTTGTCATAAGATGACTTTCAAACCCAGCATATGCACACCCACACAGGAACATTCTCTTGCACAAAATCACCCTTAACTATAAGGTAGCATTCCACCATAAGTCTTGATTTTTAAATTATGAAAATAAAAAAGTAATATTATTTTCCCATTTTTCCATAGCAGTAGATAAAAAATAATATATATATATATATATATATATATATAATAACATTGCCATCTAATGGGTATCTGCAAAGAAAATATAGAAATAATAATTAAAATAAGCTTTTGTTATTCTAATTATGCTATGAATCAAAAGAAAAAAATCTTAGATCTAAAAATTGCTCAAGAATAGGATATTAACTTTTCTCATATAAAAAATGATGATATAATACATCACAAACGAATGGGTTTTCCAAATATTCTCCTTTTTTTCAGTAAACCTATTTTTTCTCTTTTTAAGAAAACCAAAGGGGACAAAAGTTTACTTTTTAAATGATTCCTTAAACTAAAAATTCTTTGCCAAGCAAAATATTTAATCATTAATAGCATATTAATCAAATAAAGTCTATAGAATTTTTTTTAAATAAATACTTTTGTATAGAGATTTTATTAAAATAAAATTTTAAAAATGAAGATGATATCCTATTAATAATCACAGTATCAGTTGATGGATGTTGTAAGCAAATATATCAGTTTTATTCTCAAAACTTTGATTCCAACAATGTTTTAGTTACCTTTCCAATTTAACAGTCATAGTTGAATGCTTTTCTCTAAATTGGAGTTTCCTTCCTTAATGAGGACAAAAGTTGGTTTCAGCTGTAAATTTCTTTCAATCAAAACAACCCACAATTCAAGACTTCTCAGGAATTTCCTAACTTATTTATAACTGGGTTTAGATCATTCTTTCATTTTTCACAGCCTCAGTTTTGTGTAACGTATTTTCATGAAAATATATTTTCTTACAGTATTCTTCCACCACACCCAGATTCACCTCAGCCTTAGAAAATAAAATCTTCAGAATGTTCATATTTCTTGGTATGTATTTTTCAGTAGTGTATATAAATATAAAGGAATATCTAAAATTGTATTGTATTTAAGCTTGCTGGGTAATTACCAAATTTTATATGCTTTAAAAGATTTTGGTTTTCCTTTTTCCTTTATCAATAGGAAAAGAAATGCAGAACAATGTTATAAGACGGAAGTGGGAAGAAAAAGGGGGAAAAGGAAAAGAAAACTATTTTTAAAAACACTGTAAATGCAATTTAATAACTGGGACTGACTTGGCTTTCTCTCTCTCTCTCTCTCTCTCTCTCTCCTCTAGCTTTCTCTCTCACACTTTTGCTACCTCTCTTGCTCTCTTTCTCAGTGAGAAAGTGATTCCTTCTTTCTCACTTTGCTCTTGCTCTCTCTCTTTGCTCTCTCCCTTTCTCTCTCTTCTCTTTTTCCCTTGTCTCTCTCTCTCTTTTTTCTCTTCCTTCCCTGTTAATCAGACACTGCCACAATAAAGATCTCTTGGTTGCAAAAAACAAACAAACAAACAAACAAAAAAACTGGGAATAACTTGGAACAATTTGATTGGCATGTACCCTATGTCAAGTCACACCTTCCATAATTTTTATAGAACTACATAAGTATATTCCTAGTGTATGTTCCCAGAAGTGAAATTGCCAATTTGAAGACCAGGCATTTTTTTTTTTAAGTTTGATTGATACTGCAAAAGCATCTATTGAAAAAAACAAGAACCAATAATGTAATGTTGGTTGATGTTGCAGAAAATGGGAAACCCAGAAACCACAGTGCCTATATTGCCCTTGTTATGAGAGAGTCCATATTTTGATATTTATGTATCATCCCCATCTCTACCTCAACAACCATTACATACAGGTACCCATCATGATATTTCTGGCATGGCCAATGATGAGGGTTTGCAAGCTTCACGTAACAAAGTCAAAATTTTTCTACTTGGTTGTTCAGTGAACTTGTCCTGGATAGGTGATACAAATCTTTACACTTCATATCTATGGCTATGTATTTAAAGATACACTTCTTTTTGTATCAGATCCACTAATCCTTTTGCTATCTGGCTCCCGAGAACATGGCCAAGCTACAGGCCATTTCTCAAGCTTCTGCATACATTCTCACCTCAGAGACATTTCTTTTTCCACCCTAAGTGGATGACCAGTTATCTCAACCCATCTATTTTGGTGCACGTCTACATACTAAGTAAAGTACTTCCGAGACAAACTTGGGCTTTTCTGTTTTTAGCATGATAAATGACCCTCATATGACCATAACTGTAAGCTGAGGAAAGGACCCAAAGAGAACCATGGAGTAATACATGGACTTGATCCACCTGATCATGCAGATTACAATTGTGCTGTATAGTCCTCTCTAGGCTCAATCATGGGTATTCCATTTTAAATACATGATACACTGCTGCTAGGCATGTACAAATTTAGGACTTGGTGGGCTGACAGAACCTATCACATGACCATGAGTTCTCTTTACATAGTTACTTAGTGTACTTTGGTTAAGATTTTAATCTCTATCATTTACCTCAGGCTGAATGCTTAACTTACAGCTTACTGCTTTTAGATGTGAGACATATTATCTCTAGGACCTAAAGAGGCTCATGTGGAACAGTGATTCCTTCATTGTGTTAAAGGATGCAAGATGCAACTATTTACCTTTGACTCTGGAGTGTTTATATCAGAATGTTCTTGATCACTGGATGTCTAAAATCTACTGATGTGGCAAGTGCCTGTATCTTCACAAAGTTTATCTTCCACTGTGAAATGCACATATTTCATAGTGACCTCAGTACACTAGCCATGTTATTTCTCATCCTAATTAGCATGATGGGACCAATAGGATGAATCTATGGAAGTAATTTGGTTCATACCATTTTAGATAACATTATAAAAAAGAAAGTAGGACAGTTAACCCTAGAAAAAACTGAAAATGAATACTTATGTCTATCCCATGTGAATGTGAACAGTTTCTGCTATCTTTTTATACTTTAAATGGAAAAGACTCCATTCACCAAAGCATAGAAGTGTACCACAGAGTAGAGACCTTACAAATCTGCTCTAGGAAAGATACTACGTCTGGCGTGTTACCAGCATTGGAAGTCTTGATTGAGGAAGCAGTAGGACAGCAATTACCCAAGAAATAACTAGCTATTTCTTCAGAAGCCACACTGGAGAATTAATTAGAGATATGACAGCAATCCTTCATCCTATGATATCTTTAATGATATCACAGAACTCTACCATTCCCATCCTTCAGGATACGATATTGCTTTTTTTGTTTCCATCTGGGCTGGCAGAGAGAAATTTCAGAGGTTTCCATGAACTTCTTTATCAAGTGCCATAATAACTCTTACTCTATTATCAGGGGAACCTAAGAATTCCCACGCTCTTACTGACACTAAAACCCCTGTGACTCTCTGAACCTTAGAATGTAAGTTCTTTCTTTGCTTAGTCTCTAGAATGTAGGGTCTTATCTCTTCCAGCAAGGGGAGCTGCTATCTTCTTGTATCAGAGAATTCAAGAACTCAAGAATCTTTCAAATGACTCATCACAAACCTCATGATTACTCTTCTTTCCTATCAAAGACCAGAGTAAAGTCAGGTCCTGACTAAAGAATAGAACAGGAATCAGCAAACTTTTTTTTCAAAGTGTTAGATAATTAGTGTTTTCAACTTTGCAGTTGGTTTGGTTTCTTTCGTATCTGTTCAACTCTGCCAGTGTAGCATGCAAACAGCCATGAAAACCATGCTAATGAATGGTAAAGGTTGAATTCCAAAAAAGTAGGTTGTTGGATGGTTTTGACCACTGGACTACAACTTAATGAGCCTTAAAAAATATTCTTGCCAGGGATGTGAATTAAATTTTACCTCAGTAAATTTCACACATTATTAAATATTGGACTTTATTACTAGTGTAAATAAAGCTTCCAGCTGCAAAGAGAGAGAGAGAGAGAGAGAGAGAGAGAGAGAGAGAGAGATACTTTACACACTGCTGTGAGATCATTCTGTCCTTACAGTGTGTTTTAAATTGATAGTTGACTAAACAAAATCTCTCCTTATTTTTTTTTTCTTGAAGATGTCTTTTGTGGATAAGAAAAATCCATCAAATCTTCTATTGTTATGATTACCATTGCCCTCTTACCTTTCAAGTTTTAGAGCTATTCGCTAAGGTATGTTCCTTTTCCAGCATTCTGCAAGTACAAAAAGTTTTGTAATCATAGTGCTGTATCAAGCTAAGGAATCCACCAGCATGTTTCTTGTTGCTGTCTGATTCAATTCCAGATTTCTTATCAGAGTGTCTGCTCAATATTCCTCCGAAAGTGTTTAGTTGCATGGAATTTATTCAGGTAGTAGTAACAGAAAGCTTGTGAGGTGAACCAAGGAGGAAGTAAGAGAAAAGTAAGAAGATCAGTGAAGATAGCAATAATGACCAGCATGTAGTTATTGTAACTTAATTTTGATAGATGCCATTGAAGACTAAGTGGAACACATTTCAGAATTGCCTCAATCATGAGAACAGAAGCTGGGATATTCTCCACCAGCTGCTGTCTCTCATTGGTGGAAGGTTAGTTGTGGTTATTAAAGTAGCTCCTCCAGGCATCTCTGCAGTATTCCCTAATGGAAAGAGAACACCCTGGGCAGGTAGATGCAGGGAGTTATTGATCTGTGTAGAAACCATATGCTGCATATCCTGGGACACTGAGCTGATAGCCCATTGACTGAGAATCGCTCATGGGAACCACTATGTGAAGGTAACATGTGAGATGAACTGATCCTTAGAAACACATGGAAGGAACAATAAATTAATGTTAAAGGGATAGTTGCAAGCATTGTTTCAGTAATATAAAATATGTAGTGAATAAATTAAAATGTCATGGTGGGAGGCTAAATAGATGGATATGGGGCTCTCTGACTGGATACCTTTATTTTGGTGATCTAGGCAGGTAGTCCTATCCTCTAAAGACCACCAGGAGAACATTTACATTTGAACAAGCTGTGTTTATTTTTCATTTCAGCAAAGGAGACCATACAACATGGAAAACCATAGGCCATCTCAGCAAGAGGGAGTTCAAAATGACTTATGCTAGGATGTGGGCTTGTATTTGGTAGTTTGAGAAGGGATTTAAAATAGCAACTTTTCTCTGGATGAAATGCTAACACAATGCAGGAGCCACACTATGATTAAATATCTTAATAAGTCTTATTTAAGAATGTGGAAGATTAGACTTGAGCTAAACTGTAATTGATAAAGAAGCACCAGCCACTCATATTGCCTAGGAGAGGGAATATATAGTATTTTGTGGCTTGTACAATGTTCATGTACTGTTTGTTCAGATATGAATAGATAGTTTTCCATCATCTAAAATGCTTACTTTCCTTTCAAAACAACAGAATATTTTATGAAAGTAATGCTTGACCTTCTCTTATTCAATAGCATTAAAATGTAAAAGAAAAATAATAGATAAAAATAAATTATATTAATCATTAACTAATCCCATTAATAAAATGAGATTGTTTTACTCCTACATTTAAATTAGAATAGATTATTGAAAATACAAGTAATAATTTTTATTTTCTAAAATTTAATTTTCTAAATGAAGTGTTGATCAGAGACAACAAATCATAATTTCTGAATCATTTAATAAAAATCAATCATGTTTTTTCTTTATTTAGTAAATACATTAGTAAATAAAATGCACCTAATAATACACTAATACATTTTGGATACAGTTTAAATTTCAAATATACCTTTAAAATTCTGGAAAACTTAATATTTGACATGTGTTTTAAACTAATCAGATTAGCCCATTCCTCAACTAATTCAGTTACTTGATATTGGGTTTTACAGTGAAGAAGCCAAATCTAAGGTAGAGGTTAGTAATAGAGGAAGGTAAGTGGAAATCATCTATCAGTTTTTTTTTTTTTTTTAATGAAATGTCAACACTAGAATGCAACTCAGAAGGGAACACCACCTTGACATTCATCCCAGCCCAGCTAACACTCTGAAAGTTTCATATAAACACGTTCCCTTCCTTCCATTGATGCTTCAGACATACGAGTGAAGTGGTACAGCTGTGGGTCTCCTCTGCGACAGTCACTTACTACTGCACTGGCTGCTAGACCTGGCCAGGGAAGACCTTTCTTCATTGATCACTGCCACATAATGAGATTTAGTGCCCAATGGAGATCTGTTGTGAAAAATAAATAATGGCAAATAATAAACAATGCAGATTACACAGAAGTACATTTCACTGCTTTTCAGTAAAAACTTAGGAACTTAGAGTTTTAGTAGTTCTACCAATCACACATTTACGTGATCTAATGGCAAAATCTTGGTGTTGATATACCCATGTTATCTATTTATTGCAGAAAAAACTAAAGCCTTTTGTTTTACGTGGCGTTCTGGGTAAAGGACATTTGAAATCATTTCGAGGCCTACCATTGTAGTTGTATAAGTCTAACAGAACAAGAATGGCTTCTGGTAGAGGGCACCGGGCAAGTGGGAGGCTCCAGGTCCTACAGGCGGTCAGGCACATGGGGGCAGCTGTGTGCAGAACCTGCTGGCTGGGAAGTTCCTCCAAAGACCAGGTCTGATCTGGGCCATCACTGTGACCTATGACCTTGGGCGCCAGGTTTCAGAGCTCCCCAGAGCCCTGTCCATCCTGGCCAGTAACTGAAGGACCTTTACCCACTTCCTTTCTCTGAGTACCAGGGATTTGAGGTCCAGGATAAGCAGCAAAGTTGTTTAATAAGCCACCCCTTCCTTATCCTGGGGACCCTATAGCCCAGCTTCTGGAGGAGAAGAGTAGAGTCCCAGCCACCCCAGGATGTACTTCCCCAGCTGTTATGCAGCCCCCACCAGGCATGCCACTGCTCCCTGAAGACATTGGCCTCCCATCTTATGATGCATCAGTGCAGACTACATGTCCCCACTGCCATCAGGCCATCACCACCAAGATCTCCTATGAGGTTAGCCTGCTAAACCTCAGGCTGGGTTTCTTCTGCTGCTTCATGGGGTGTGATCTGGGCTGCTGCTTGATCCCCTGCCTCATCCGTGATTTCAAGGATGTGAAACACAGGTGTCCTAGCTGCAAAATCTACATTGACACATACAAGTGCTTATGCTAACAGAGCTGAACTCCGACTCCCCAACCTGTCAGTGGCCCCCTACCTATGCTTCACTCCCTGTGCTCAGTGGTCTTTTCTCCTCCATTTGGGGTTGCAATCTGTGCCACCATGCCCTGGAAGTCCTGTCCTCTTCTTGCCCTACCTTGAGCATCTGACTCTTTCAGCAAAAATTCTGTGAGTTTTAAAGGCCAAGGACAAGCGGTGGCAGAGGAATAACACTGAGCTTCTGTGTTGCTGGTTTGCTTGGTGTTTTGTGATTCAGAAAACAAGCTAGAAAGGGTCTCTTACTTGCGTCCTCACTTGTCTATTTCCATTCAAGGTCCAGACCGGGTCCTGACTCTCTCTGAGGCCAAAAGCAGAAAAACAGTTCCTAGTCTGGGGGCCTGCAGGAGAGACTGTGCAGTGAAGTTTCTGACCTGCTGGGCTGAAAGTAGGGCATCATCTGGACCCAAGCAGAACAGGGTCATAAGGCCTGGGTTTGTTGTGGGGTATGCTGCACCTCTGGTGTGCTAGACGGGCATGTCAGAATCAATGATTGCCAACTCTGACCCTCAGCACTCAGATATGGAAACCCAGGACATCCCTCTGTTCAAGTGCCCAAAGTAGGAAGGATGCTGGGTAAGTCATAGCCCTGGTAACCAAGAGCAGCTCATCCTTTCGCCACCCTCTTTGAGTTGGTGTGCAGACCCCCTTTCTGGCCATGACTCTGTGAACCCCTATTTTTCTGGGGCTAGAAGGAACATCCATGAGCCTAGCCTATTCTCTCTAACCTGTGTCCTCACTGTGTGTGGTTGCCACCTCTATTCAGTGGCTGCTGTGTTGCAGCTAGGACAGAGGTAGATAGGAGGGGCCCCCTTATAGAAGTGCTGGGATTTACAGCGCCTTCAGCCTGGTTCTCTTCCTGGAAAGCACTAGGCCCTTTGCCCCAGCTGACTTGCTGTTTCTCTACCTCTTTGGGACACCTCAACAGCAACAGCTGTGGCACTGGGCTGGGGTGAGGAAGGAGCAGGCACAAGCGGTGGGAGTGCCCTAGTGGATATCAGCCCTGCACAATGTGCAGGCCCAAACCTGTCTTCATTTCCTGAATAGTTTGTCTATGAACTTGCCCACACGGACAATGAACCCTGCTGCTATTGCTCTTCTTGCACTGCTATTGCATGGCTTCCAGTCATTATGAATTGTGGCCTGGTCTCAGTTTGTAGTTTCTCATTAAATTGATGCTTTTACTAGCCCCCACCCCACCCCACCCCCCAAAAAAAATAAATAAAAAGATTCGCTGCGGGGGAAGAAGGCTATAGGAAGAGGGATCCGCCCCCACATCTCAGCTGTATACACAGATCATTCTCTACCTCTCAGTGGGAAATCCCAGAGTTATGGACTAACAGAGCACACCAGATTAATCCCAAATATTCTACAAAGAAACCACCATAAAGCTCCCCAACTTACACCCCTGAGAAATAGAGAAAATATGTTTGACAACATTTAAATACAGTAAAAGGGAAACTATTTTAGCAATTTTTATTCTAGACATTGCCATAATTATAATTTTTAGCCTTTTTTCTGTGTTCTGTGTACAAGTCACAGTAACATAATGATCACTAGTAATCATATCATCATTATAGGAATAAATTACATATACTGAAATTTCATTTCTTAAAATTTCACTACCCAACTTGAGTCTTTTCTCTTATTTGAGCAGCTTCATTTCATAGGTCATGAGATTTCCCTTCTTTAGAAGTTTTTCTACAAACCTCGTGTTTAAAGAGTACACTAAAGTGGTCCCCCATTTCCCTGGGACCAAAATATTAATTATAAAGTAACATTTTGTCTCTATTTCAAGCTTATGTTGTAAAGTAAACATTACCAAGTAAATGAAATTCCTGCTCAGGAAATAATTTACTACTTTTGAAAAAAAAAAAGTACTCTTTGAGTCAATATAATGCATTCCTTCGCTAAGCATGTATTTTTAAAAAATTTTTTTCAGTTGTAGATGGACACAATAAATATTTATTTATTGCGTGTATTTTCTGTAGTGTAGCATCTGTATCAGTTAGCTATTGCAGTACAACAGACCACCTCAAACATCACATGTGAACAAGTTGTTTGGTCAGCTTTTCCAATCTTGATTGTCTTATACATGCCTCTGATGTGAGATCTGGGTCTGGTGCACAGCTCTACTGAAGTGGCTGAGAGTGGGCTGATGGATATTTTCCTTAAGATGATTTCATCATAAGGGTGGTGGTGACTTGTTTCTCTACCTAGTGGTCTCTCTTCAAACAGCAGGCTGTCTGGCTTCTCCTCAGAGGGTGGCAGGTATCTAACTGACACAGAAGCAACACACAAGGGCCCTTGAGACCCGGGTACAGAATTAAACCACCAAATGAATTCACCAGGGCAGCCATGCATATTCTACTCGCCAAAACAATTCCCATAGTCAGTCAAGATGGGGAAGTAGATTCTACTTTTTGAAAGAAGGAGCTGTAAGATCACACTTCTTTAGAAGAAGTGGGTGAGAAATAGGAACGTTTTTGTTATGAATCGGCCATATTTTTATTAACATATATCATAAAATTTATTTTTGTTCACCATTGTATGTGAGCACCTAGAAACTACCTGGAACATACTCAATATTCAAATATAGTTAAATGAATTAATGTAGAGCCCATCTCTGTGGGAGGGAAACTAATTATATGGGAAATAATATTAATTGCCTGGCTCACTGTTTATTCCAACAGGTTTCCAGGATGCTTTTCTAGAATACAAAGATTCAAAAGCTAAGCCCTTTATTTCACAGTTAACTTTGTAGTAGGTTTTTTCGATATAGACTCAGTTTTTCAAAATAAGCATTTCAGATATTTGAAAGAAGGAAATTAGTATGGGGCAGTGCCCACTTTGGGAGATGATTCCTCTTTCAGGAATAATGATGGATGTTCATTCATTCCTCCTATCCCGAGACTTATCTGGAAGTTTCTAGTATCTGTTTCTTGGGATCATATTGAAGCAGCAGCAGTTAGCTTTCTACATTTTAATCTCTAATTTTTTTGTCTTCTTCCCTTTTCAAATAAAAGACTAAAAATCAATTTTAAGCTTGTGTGCCAAAATGTCATTCATTTCTACATTTTATATTTTTAGGGACATTAAAAATTCACCGTAGGTTACTTTTGATTGTTTGTTCCAACATGAATCACCAGGAATAGGTAGCAATTAGTGAACATTGAGAGTTTCTTCATAACATCTGACACAAGAGCTTCAAGAAGACAGAATATACTTAATTAGTATTGTCAGTTTTGTTTTGTTTTTTGGTTCTGGGGATTGAACTCAGGGGCACTCAATCTTTGAACCACATCCCCAGTCCCATTTTGTATTTTATTTATAGACAGTGTCTCACTGAGTTGCTAAGCCCCTTTCTGAGGCTGGCTTTGAACTCACAAGTCTCCTGTCTCAGCCTCAGGAGCCCCTGGGATTATAGGCTTGAGCCACTTTGCCCAGGAGTCTTGTCAGTTTAAGGGGGACTTTCTTATTGCACCTCCAGAGACAGTCACTCAGCACTGCTCAGTGTCCAGGCTTCTGTACTAACAGTAGGAAGAATAGTGAGGAGTTTATTCACTTTCAATTGCTAATGAGGAATCTGAATTTTCCTTCAGGATACATTGTTTATACCACTATTCTCTAACTCCAATTTTCCAAGTGTAGAATCTGTTTAGTAGGCTCAAAGATATTTACATAGTATTGGATCCACAGAATTTGTTGAGTTATATTTCATGATTGCATGTACATTTTTTCAAAAGAAAAAGTTCTCAGTCCTAACCCCATCCACAACAAAAAACAGGATTCTTATAAATTTTAGGCAGACAATAACAATTTAACTATGGAAATAAAGAGTAATTAATGAGAGTAATGCTTTATTAAAAACTTATATCCTGTGTCTTTTTGAAAATTTGCTTAGAAAGCAAGAAATTAATTTTCCAAAATATTGCATTATTCATGTAATATTTCTCCAACTTCCAAACTGGAAAAGTCTATTTGAAGTTCCATTGTTATAAATGAAATTTTATATTTTTTAAATTATTTTTAAGTAAGTAAGTTAAAATTCAGCTCTGTTTTCATTCTAACAGTGCCTTTTAAGCAAAAAATCAAATTTCATTTTAAATTTATGTTGCATTTAAATATTGACATTTTAATACTCAAATGTCATTAAGAAGTTAAAATCTTTTGATAATTGTTATTTATCTAGGATTTTAATGTTTTTTATAAATATATAAATACACAGAGAGATTTAAACATAAGTTCTTGGCATAAGCTTTCTAAAAACAATTGGGTTTATTTTCCAATATTTATAACTTTAAAACTACTGTATTTTTAAAATATATCAGGTGAAAATTGTAAGACTAACAGTAAATTATTGGTGTGAAAGGAGTAGAATCATTGCACTGTAGAGACCAAATTGCCTTAGAAATAATTTTGTCATAATACAGAGCAAAAAGATACAGGGTCATTCAGGGTAAAAACAATTTATTAACTGGACTAGAACTCAAACTTTGATTAAAATAAATTATATTTATGCTAGATAAATTATAGTAGAGTTCTTGTTTTTTTATGTATTAATGTTTGTTTCAGGGTCCTTGTAGGAATTTTTTCCTCAAGACTGATATCTTTATAGTTTTGAATAATAATCATCCATTCACACTTCAGAATGCCCAAAGCTACAGAAAATTTGTGAGATAAGAGTAAAATAGTGGCCATCCTTGTGAATTTATGGCAGATCATATTTCTCAGCTTTCCAAAGGATAAATCTAAAAAGTAAGGTTTTAAAATAAATTCTAAACTTCTTCACACTAAAGGGAGAGAAGAACCAGAGCTTACAAATTGTATTGTCTATGTTAGCGCTCCCTCTAGTGGCCATAGTTTAAATTTCATGTGGCACCTATAAGGGAGTCTTTATATATTTAAGCTAAATATAAATATATAGATCTACAAATATTTAACTATACAAATAAAGT